ACACCTAGAGCCTCATGTGGCGGATTATTCCAGAATGACGATGGGCATTGGATAATGGTTTTTCAGGCTGGTTTAGCATGTAATGCTTTGGAAGCTGAGATGTGGGATATTTAATATGCTCTTAAGTTGGCTTGGGAAAAGGGATGGCATGGACTAGTTTTACAAATAGATTCCTAAATTGCTTTTGAGGTGTTACATGAATCTGCAAATGTGGTTATGAGGATGCGTAATCTGGTGGATGAACGTAGAGAGATGCTTAGTTGAAATTGGCAAATTTCGCTAGTTAAGGTGTATCAAGAGGTTAATGCTGCTGCAGATCTTTTGGCTTCTGCTGTTACTGCAGGTTCCTTGGTTTGCAAGTTCTTGAGGGACAACCTTTTCATACTGGGAAGTTTCTTGAAGCTAATTTAGTTGGGCAAATTTGGCCCGTGTTGTTTATAATCGGGTTTACTTCCCTCATTTGCAATTAAAAGAGTTATTTTGTAGGAAATAATTATAAACAATTAAATTAAAGATTTATTAAAAATAATAATGGAACATATTATATTCTTACTCTATTTACCATGTATTTTATAGAGTATAATATAATCAATCAAATTTTAAATTACTTTTTATTTTTTCAACTAATAAAATTAAAATCCTTAAAAATATTATTATTCTTACTATATTTAAAATATACCTTATTTAGTATATAATATAAATATTATTTAAAATATCATAAATATTTTTAAATATGTTATTCTTAGTTAATTGTTAGTTATACAAAAGTAAACAACACTAAACTCATAATATAAATGGATATACTCGATATATATAACAAATCAATTAATTAATATTTTATTTGTAGTACATATCAATTGCTAAGTATATTATTGTCACGACCCGTTTCCATGGACCGGACCGGCACTAGAGCTCAGGTAAGCTTAAGGCCCCCGAGGCCCGTAGTAAGTCTAAATTATCCAATATGTCTACCTATCTTTTCCAATTTCATCAAAACAGTAATTCTCGGCCCAAGTTTTTCTTTCTACAGCATTCTTATAGTTTTGAGCCCAGTTTTACAATACAATTCACCATCTAATAGGCGTTTACAGAATTATTTGTCTATGTTAAATTCACGACTAAATATATTGTAATCCTACAACTGCGGAAGGTCACTAACTCTTTTGGTATACATAGCTTTTTATTACACATAATTACATAGTTAAAAATAATTATGGAACTAGGAAAATTTCTCTATTGCCTTGCGCCGAAGAAACATTAGCCTTAAATTCAGATAAAGAAAAACTTACTTCCGAAAACAAAATCAAACAAGTCATGTGAGTTTTCTTAAGGAGTAATAATTATTGCACAACACACGCAGTCACCACAAATGGTATAAAAACATATCATCTAATCGATCCGACAGTTAATGCTCACGCAGTCAGTCCACACAAAATGGTCACCATACCAGCTCACAATTCATTTAACATCTTCAATAATCACATCACGTGAAAATTAGTAGTGGTGTCACCGAACCCCGATGAGAGTCGTCCTCCCACATGGGCTCATCCTCTCACAATGTGCACCAGGGAGCCAAATCCCCCATACTGGGGCCGACCGTGCTAATCCTCACTTGACTAGCTCTCTTTCATTGTTTCTATCCTCTTTCTTTTCTTTTTCATTAACCAACAGAGGCAATCGGTTGGTCTCCATCTTAATTCTAGATCATCAAGCGCCTCGGACAGACAGGAGCCACCCTGCGGACGCGACCACAATCTAGACTGTCCGGTGCGCAAACGACAAGAAGCCAACCCGTGGTTACGGTAACGGTAAACGGTTAGGTGCACAGGGGGGCGCTGATCTCCCATACCCGGAATAACGGTAATCATATTAGATCCATTATAACGGTACGGTCTCACAGTTCCCATGGGACCCACTTCATTTCCCAATTCCACACAAACAAAGCACAGCAATATAACAACACCAATTAATCAAACATTGCAATCAAATGCAAGACATATTAGGATCAATTAAAACATCGTAATGCAATGCAAATAAATAAAAAATAAATATGTAAATAATTAAAGAATAATAAAGATTAATAAAAAAAAAAAAAAAAAAAAAAAAAAAAAAAAATTTAATCAGAGGCACTATAAATTTATTATGTACCAAGTTTTATAGAACTATAGAACTAACCTAAATAAACTTATTAATTATGTTGTTAATTAAAATTAATCTAAGTTCTATCGAAATTTCGGCAGCACCTCCCCAAAAAATTGGACTGTCTACTTGCTCAAATATCACAATATTATCATATCTTTATCAATCAAGGCACACAGCCCATCCGTCGGACAATCAATCAAATCGAATACCCGTCCTCCTTTAAATAACAATATCGCCATTCGGCAAGAAATTTAGTTATAGCATCAATTCTCAAGGTTCAAGTAATAGAATAATGCAGAAGCAATTGTGACAATAATCTAACCTTCACTTTATAAGGATTCAACTCATAGCTTCAATTGCATAACAATTTAAATCCTTCTCCTAGAATTTTGTTCAACATTAGCTTAGCACCTAGTTTTTCCTCCCTCCAGATATCATTTGATTCATAGCAATAATCATTCTAAGTAAATTTTTAACATTACTGAGAGTTAATCCTAATGTACTTAAAATTGCTCATTAAAATTAGTTATAGCCTAAATTTAAGTATGAAGAATTAAATTTCTTAATAAAATTTAGCCATGAATAAAAGCTAGAAATCGAGAAAATCCCTTCATAAACTTTGATTTTATGCCTCATATCTTCTATCAAAATTCGAAAAACAAACATACTATTACTAAAAGAAAGGTTGGAAATTGCCTTACCCCCAATTGGCGATTTAAATTGCCGAAAAACTGAAATATTTTTGGATAAAAAGTGGACCGAAAACAGCTGCCAATGATCAAAGTCCGATTCTGCCGTCGCTAATTTGGTTCGGAGGAAGGAACAAGTGACGTTGGGGTAAAGAGATGACCAGGCGAGGGAGGAGCTGGGTTCTGCTAGCTGGTGGCTGGTCTGCTCGGAAAAATCGAAGAGGAAGGCGGATAATGCACTGCTGTACCTACTGCGAGTTGCGATCGCAACTTTTTTGGTTCACTGCGCCAGCCGAAACGTGAAGGACGAGAGTGAAGGAGAGGACAGGACCGTGAAGGAGAGACAGGACCGGAGCTTCTTCGTCGACGAGAAAGAAGCCGGCGTCGCTGGAAAGTCAAGGAGTAGGAGGCTCGACCCGATTTCCCGATCGAAGGAAGTCGCGACTCTCCTGCGCCTAATGCGTACGCCAGCAAAGAAAGAGAGGAGAGGAAGAAGGCCGAAATCGCTGGCGAGGAGGCGATGGCGAGGAGGCACGGCCTGGTCTTCGGTGGTCGGAAAAAGAAGAGGAGGAGGAGGTCGCGCGCATGGCGCTGGCGCCAGGAAGAAGAAGGTAAAAGAGAAAAAGAAGGAAAAGAAAAAAATCTTGGGGCTTCTAGACCATTCCGGTTCGATTCGAACCGGTTTGGTCTAATTTAATGATTCTCCTCGATTTTTGCACGGTTTGCAGGTTTTTCACTTGGTTTTCAAGCTATTTGTGTGGTTTTCGAAAGATTAATTTGGTTTTAAGGCCCAGTTCGATTTATTTTAATTATTTAGTTTGGTTCCATAATATTTTCTCCATTTACTCAATATAAATAAAATATGAACAATTATGATATTTGATTTTCAATGAACAATATGATATTTGATTTTGGTAGTTGATAATTAAATTTATATAATAATTACATACAGAGAGTATACATATAATATAATCGACTAGTAACTATTTAGGTTTCATTTGGATTCGGTCAAAAAATTTAAGTGTTCTTTGGATCGTAAATTTCCGAATAATCTTGTTTTTGGGCTGGACCCTAACTTCGAAAAATTTGGGCATCGAATTTTGAGACTGTATTACAATTTAAGCCCACACGGTTTCCGAATAATCTGTTTTTGGGCTTGGACCTAATTCGAAAATTTGGGCTCGAATTGAGACTGTATTACATTTATAGCCCACACGGTCAAAATTTCTAATTTTTAATTAAATAAAAATTTAAAGGTTTCAAAAATAAAAATTCAGAGTGTTTCAATTATATTCTTACCATATTTAAAATTACCATAGTGTGTAATATAATTTTTTTTATTTTATTCAATAGAATTTATATTTAAACAGGAAATTAATATGACTAGTCAAAATTAAATTATTTTAATTTCAACCAATAAAATTAAAGTATGATATTTTTGTTAATTCATAACTTTTATAAGGCATTATAGAGAAGATTATAGAATGGATAAATACACTCGTCAGATGCTATTAACCCAACTAAAGTTGCTCAATAATTCGATCTTAAGGATATTGGTTTATATGCAGATGCAAGTGAATTAATTGGTTTCTTTTGTTTAATATTAAATTTAATCATTTTTTATTTTTATTATTTTGTAAATTTTATATTTTTATTTGCATTTTAAAAATATATTTAAAAATATTATATATAAAATTTTATTGAATCCTATCGAATTCGATTAAACCATCCGACTCCATAAACTCATGCCTGCATTAATTGAATGTTTTCATAATATTGACAAACTCATTCAATATTCAACATAGACAAAAGTTAAATGAACGAAATTTTCATAATTGAACCCAATCAAGAACAAAATTGAATTAAACCAAAATTCAATTTTTGGGTGTTAACTTAGATTTTTTAATTAAATCAGTTTGAATTATAAGATTAAGCTTTTTTTTATTTTATAAAAACTGAACTGGACAAAAAAATTAATTCGAATAAAAAAAATGGTTCCATTTTATGAAAATATGCTCAGCCCCATTACTAAAATGCTCGAGTATATCCTCCGACAAATGCAAAACTCAAATAGTCAAATTGCATGCACCAAATCGCTTTTCTACGCTAACGGGCATAATTCTTTTGGTTCTTCCTTTCACTTGCGTATGGATATCGATCCTTCTTTTCCATTATCGCTATTTATAGTTGCGTATGGGTATCCAGCCATTACCATTTGGAGCTCTGATTCCAGCTTCAATGGAGACATTGTCCAACTCGGAGTCCTGCAATGGAGAGAGCAAAGTTTATGCTGTCATTCTTGATTTGGATGGAACCCTTTTGGATACAGGTTTTCTTCTAGTCCATTTTTATTTTCATTTTTATTAGGTTCTTTTCTCTAGGACAGAGCAGTTTTTGGTAAAACTGACTGAATCCAATCGAACCGATCAATTTGGTTCATAAGATTTCTAAGAAAGTCAAATCAGTTTTGATTGTAATAGAATTTGAAATTTTTTGATTTGATTCAATTTAATAAAAATGCTAAAAATGAACTTGATTTAACACAAAAATCAAACTGAATCAAATTGATTCGGTTCGGTTTGATTCAAAATAGGCTTTAAAGATTTGATTTGTACTACGTTCAATTTAATTTGAATTGAACCGAGGGAATGATGATCTCTAATTTTTTTTCTCTATATAAGATCTTAATATTTTTATTATTTTTATTATTTTGTTAATGTGAAGAGAGTGCTACAAAGGGTGTTCTGAAAGAATTTTTGGCCAAGTATGGGAAAGAACTGGACAAGGAAAGGGAAGAAAGTAAGAGGTTGGGGATGACTCTGCAGGACTCGGCAGTTGCCATTGTTAAGGATTATGGTCTGCCTCTAACACCTGACCAATTCATCCATGAAATCATGCCCATGTATCGTCACAGGTATGTTTGTTATTGGTATTATTATTCAATTTTAGTTATTTATATATGTTTGAGTATTTTAACTTTTTGATAGTTTGATATATAATAAATGTTAGGTGTTCGGTAAATTATTTGTTTTTAAGAAGAAATCAAGTTAGAAATTTCATTAAGAGGAAACTGTATACTGATATAGGATACCAATCATTATGTTTCTATATTTTTATATAAAAAGTCTAATAATAAATCACTTATACAAGAAATAAAAAACTCAATCTTAATTTGAAGTATATGATCGAGTTGACATAATATAATATTTGTTGCATATGCAATCGCTTGCTCTACTTAATGGCTATTCGTGGCAATTGTTTGACTTCATAGTTTTCCTACAAGTCCGATCTGATCACTTCTAAATTTCTTCCTCTATTAAAGAGAAAATCTATACTTTTTTCTGCATAATTATCTAAATAACAAAATACCCTAAATAAAATCACCATAATAAAACAGATAACTATAACTCAGAACTAGATCTAAGAACAAAATCTCAAGATATGGCAATAATAAATCTCAATATTTGAATAACAGTAACTCATGTCTATTAAAAAGATACAAAACAGGAAATAGGGTAATTACCGGTAAGAGCTCACTGGTGGTCATAAGAGAAAGAAGAAAAGAGAACTTTTAAGTTTTTGGAAGGAAGAGAGCTTTTAAGTTTTGTAAAATTTTTTATTAAAAAATTAAGAATTCAGTAAAACGTAAATTTGAGGGCTTCTATTTTAATTGTAATATCTAATGATGGAGACAGTTTTTTTGGTGGACTTAAATAAATTAATCTTTTTAATACGACCAACATATTTATATATGCAGTTCTTTATATAAACTTATCACAATCAAGTAAATATAAAAATATAATTTTTTTTTTTTTTTTTTTTTAAATAATCTACATGATGGAGACGAGCTTTTTTTTGGTGGTGACTAAATAAAATAATCTTTTAATACGACCAACATATTTATATATCAGTTCTTTATATAAACTTATTCACAATCAATAAATTATAAAAAATATAATTTTTTTTTTTTTTTTTGGTTTTGTGAATTTCCACCACGTTTTATCCAAAAGGTTAGCTACCAGTTTTATGTTAATAGTTTTCTGACCAAAAATAAAATGTCTGCTTTGTATAGCTTTGGAAAATAAAAGATATAATATATAGCAATTCTATGAGAAGAACTGAAAATATTTTTTTTTTTTTTTTTTTTGTGAATTCCACCACGTTTTATCCAAAATTAGCTACCAGTTATGTTAATAGTTTCTGAATCAAAATAAAACTGCTTCTGCTTTGTATAGCTTTGGAAATAAAATATATATATATAGCATATTCTTTGAGAAACTGAAAATTAAAGCACCTTCAAAATTTAAAAATTTACTTAAAGATATAGCTTTTGCAGCATTTTGTTGTAATCTTATATATATATATTCTTCAATCTGATAGGTGGTCACATGCTAGAGCTTTACCAGGTGCTAATCGTCTTATCAAACATCTGTGGAAAAATGGAGTGCCAATTGCTCTTGCTTCGAACTCCTCCACAGAAAATATAGATGCCAAAATCTCTCATCAACAAGGTTATATTTCTTTTACTTGTTTGAACTTCCACCGGAAAAAAAAAAAAAAAACAAAAAAAGAAACTAATTGCATTCTCAATTGACTCTTAAATCCTTAACTATTAAAATTATTTTTATTAAATACTTTGATTTGTAAAACTGTACCTATTAAATATAATTTTACTCAATTTTCAATTTCTACCTAAAAATTTATAAATGCGATACTTTAATGCTTTTTTTGATATAATTTATTCAAATATGATTTCACATTTTTTTAATCATTCAATAAGTGTGTAATAAGTATAATTTTTATAAATTAAGTATTCAACAGGTATAATTTTATAAATTGAAGTATTAAAGTAATTTAAGATACATGCATTAATTTCAGAATCAATCGCTTTGTAGTATATCCAAGTCATTTATTCATCATTCATACAATTTAATATTTATTCTCAAATTTCTATAAAATATATTCATGTATTAACACATTGTTATTACAAATTAAAAGGGTAAAGGTAAATTAAATAAGAGGTTAGGATTCATAAGATGAAAATGTGTGATATGAGCAATACTTACACTTGGGTCAAACAATACTAAAAGATTAGTACTAACCAATTAGTTAACTTGCCACCCTCATATGCCCGTTATGGATTTATTATTTAGTTCACATAGAATTCTTAACAATTATTTATGGATTTACACATCAATACCGAATTTATATTCATAGATAGCATGTAATTTAAATCATGTATTTTGAATTTCAATTAACGTTCATAATCCTCATATCATATTGCTATCCAAAATCACACCTCAGGACTTTTATGATTAGCCAAAGCGGCATCTGAACATTTATGATTTTCATCAATTTTAGGCTTTATACCTCTAATAATATCAATCTTTTATAAGAAAATAAAAAAAGAAAATAAAAAATTTTTATATAATATATATTATATATATATATATATATATATATATATATATATATATATATATGTGATTATCATATATATATGTATTATCCCTTGTTTAAAATATATGAATTTCATAAAATTTTATGGAATGCATTTAGAAATCTATATTTTTGTGTTTGGAATAAAAAAAAAGTATAAATTTCAATTCCAAGAATTTAAATCCAGGAATTGAACATAACTACCTTAAATCTCACAAAAATAAGTGAAATTTTCAAATGAATTTCACAAAACTAAACACTCCAATTTTTTGTGACAAAACTACCCTTTCCTTCTACAACGTCAATTTTAAAATTCTTTTTACTTATTTAAAAATCTAGAATAGTGTCTAAAATATAAAATATGCAATTCCACAATAATTCTACCAATTGTAGAAATTAATATTATAAGAGATAAAAAAAATAAAAATCTAATGGTTGATTCTTTTATGAAATCTTGGTACAATGAGTTTTAAAACACCAGTTGAATTAAACAGTCACTCAAAAGTTAAAATTTTCTCATGAAGTTCTTTGCATATTTAGTTAATTCTCAGCTGGAGGTATAATATCAATCACTCGACATCCCTCAATGGCTTAAAAAAACAAGAAAGAAGTAAAAAGCATGAGCACCTGAATACAGAGAATTAAACACATATAGTCTATACATGGAGAAACAAAAATGAAAAGGAGAATAATTGATTGATAATAAAGGATAATATTAGATTTCAAAATTAAATTTAATTTAGATTTCAAAATTGAATTAATTTAGATTTTATCTGCTTACTGAATATTAGATTAGATTAAATTTGTAAAAGAAAAAAAATATTCAAAAGTTATTAAAAAATAAGAAAATTTATAAAAAAAATAAAAAGTAAAGCTCAAACGATAGAATGCCAAGTCAGCTTTCTAGAGTTTTTTTTCTTCGGGATGGATGGATATATATTCTCTAGGTTTTTTTCTCGGGGGATGACTGGATATATATATATAGTATATAGTATAATATATACTAGAGTATATATATATAGGGTACTATATAGTATATATATTATATATGTATATATATTAGTTAATGAAGCATTTACACATTAGGTTTTGAACGGAGACATTTTATAGTACAAATTAAAAGGATTGAAACTATTACTGATGTCAATAGTTATTAATATTTTAATATATATCATTTAATAAAATAATTAATTAATTAGGAGTGGATGCGTGAGTGTATATTTATATGAAATTTATTATTTATATACTTAAGTCAAAAACAGCAACTTATGATATTGGTAGATTATAATAAATTATAATGTATAATAAATATAATTGGTGTTTGTTATTTGTTTTTGTTAAATTATTATGTCAATGGTATTTTAGAAAATAAAGACAAATGAATTTTTATTTAAGAGTTTATTCCAAATATAGTTTCGTAGAATTCAATTGAACTCCTCATTTTAAATTAAACATACCAAATATGATAAATTCATTTATAAATAAATTCTACTTGGAATTCATTTATAAATGAATTCTTCATCTATGATTCATTTGTTCCAAACATATTGTTGATGTAGAATTCTTTTCCACCATTAAATTTAGGATAGATAAATATAAACCATTTGATCTAAACTAAACGAAGTGACTTAGAAATAAGTTATCAAAAGTAGAGGTTTTCCATTTTTTTTTTCAATATATCAAAAGTAGTTAAAATCTATAAAAATAGCATATTTATTTTTTATTTAATATCCACCTTTTCTTTCCTGTTAATAGATATAAAAGTAATTATTTAATGGTGTGAATTTAAATATTATTTTCAATACAACTATAATTTTTTTTCAAAATAAATAATTATCTAATATATCAAATTCATTTACCCAAAATAAATTATTTAAAATTCTAATAAATAATTATAAATTTTTAATTTATTAATAATTATAAATTTTTATTTATTTTATTCAAAATTTTTAGCATGTATTTATACAATTAAAATTGTATTATGTACATGTCATTATCTTTAATATAACATTTTAAATTGAGAAAACTAATAATGTTTGACTTAAAATTTATCTCCTTTTATAATATTTAATAAACCCATGTGTCCAAAAAATTATATAAATGGAACCATATTAATTGTATTTTATTGTATTTATTTGAGTCTTATGAAAAATAACTTTATATTAAAGTTAAAACAGAAGGTGAGATTTTAAATAATTTAATTTTTCTTTCGTGTATATATAGATAAACAAACCATGTGAGGTTATTTTCATAATATCTCTTAAAATGTGCTAAATTGTAACTTTTGATTATGTGATAATTTGCATAAATATTTATAAATTAATTTTAGATGTTCAAAAAAAAAAATATTAGTCAAATAACAATTGTTATGCATAATATTTCTTCCATGGAGTATGCAAAGTAAATATGTACTTATTCTATTATTTTGTTTAATTTAATATTATGCATAAATACTATAGTATAAATACTCTTTTTATATTATTTATATAAGAGTATAATACTATTAAATCAAACCATATAAACAATATTTATAGAATAGTTTATAATATTTCATTATGTTTTTGTCACTTACTCTTGCATACTTTTTATACTTGTTATGGAATAAAAGAGAAATAGGGAAAAGAAAATACAGTTAAGAAATATAAAAATAAATGGCTTAATATATTGTTTCACTCTCAACTTTAGGTTTTGTTGCAATTTCACTTCAATTTGGCCTTTATGTCAATTTCACCATGAATTTAAACCTTCTGTTGCAATTTCATTTCAATTTGACTTTATACCAATTTCACCTTGAACTTTGACATTTTATTGCAATAATACCTTAAATTATAATTAGGACTTAAATTGTAAATAAAAAATAGATTCATTTTTTACTTTAGACTTGGATTAACTTAATACATTTATGTGAGTGAAGGAATTTGGGTTAATAGTATGGACAATTTCTATTATTATTTTTAATATTTTTATATTGTTTCTTTAATTGATAATAATTTCTTTAAATTGATAATGAAATAATATTTAAAATTAATTTTTTTTTGATACATGAATTTTTTTTTAAAATAGACATAATTTAATTGTTTCTTTAATTGATAATAAATAATATTTAAAAATTAATTTTTTGATACATGAATGTTTTTTTTTAAATAGAACATAATTATTTTTTATATTCCATTTTGATAAAAAATGCTACAATTTCTAATAGTTTAGGAGTCAAATAAATTGATAGTAGCTTTATTTTAGATTTTATAATTATTTTAAAATTTATATTAAAATCCAACCATAATAATAATTATATTCTAATTTTTTTAAAAAACAAAAGTTCATATTTCAAATAATTCATTTTTAAATATTACTTATCATCAATAAAAGAAAGAATTTAAAATATTAAAATAATAATAGAGATTGTCCTTATTATTAATCTAATCTCTCTGATTAATCGATCGAGCCCTAGATTAAAAGTGAATCTATTTTTTATTTACAATTTAAGTCTTAATTATATAATTTTTGGTGTGCTTTGTTTGGAAATATCATTTGTAGAGAAAAAAAAAAAGATCATTTGTGTTGGTAAAATCAATTGGTTATATTAAGAAGGTTGCTCATATTTACAGAGAAATTAATAAATGTGCTGATTGGTTATCTAAGGAGGCTTCTTCTCTACCTTATTGAGTTTAAGTTCTTAAAGATCCTCCTCCTAATTTATTGCCTTTTGCTTAGTTATGATGGTCATAGTATAGCTGTTAGTGTTTACTGGTAGAGTTTCTAGCTAGTTTTGTTTAATTCTCTCTTTTACTTTTTAATTAAAGGGAAATTAATTATTTAGTCCTTCATATACGACGAAATTATCTAAATAATGTTTTCATTTTGAATAAATATTCAGCGTGTCCCTCGTGTTTGCTTACGTGATTCTGAGTAGTTTTTCTGTCTAATTTTGAAAATTTTTTCCGTTAAGACATAAGAAAATGACTAAAATAGTCAGGGCAATATGAAAGCTACGTACCTTCTCTCCCTCCCCGCCATATTCGCCTGCACTGCCTCCACCATCGCCGCTTCTGCCATTACATCGCCACCCTCG